GAGACACTGCTAATGGGAAAGCAAATCACGGAGATAGAATGTAAGGCTTGCTCCAAGAAGGGGCCCTGCTCTCCAATTATTCCAATCAAATCACAGCAGCAGCATAAGGGGAACAAGGGTGGATGTTACAAGCAGGCAAGGCATGGGTGCACCAAAGCACCAATAAGGTGCGGCAACAAGAGCTGAAGAGGGAACTGAACTGACCTGACCTGTACGCAGAAGCAACTAACAGGACTTCACCTGCTTTGTGTAGGTCACAGACAGCACATCGGAGATATCCGCACTGTGCAGGTGTTGAAGGAAGAGGTTCCAGAACAACTGCATTAATACTCACACTTCAGGCACCTGCAATCACACTCTACCCTGAAACCACACACTGGGGCCTATCCCACCTGAGTGACAAGCCAGGGCACAGTCCCTGCTGCTCTCGAGTGATACCACAAAGATCCACCAGCTGGCACATGGCAGACAGCAGAGAAGATGGAGATATTTCAATAAGCAAGCTGATTTTCAGGCTGGGGGGGAGTTAATATAAACAGTGAGCTCCCATTCATGCAGGCCTTTATTGCAGAAGGATTTAGGTCATCTTCTAACCTGAGCTAACAGGCATCAAACAGAGCAGCATTACACAGCCAACCTAGGGGCAAAGAACAAGCATCTGCACGGAAAGATTGCAGATCATTCCGGGATGACTGTAGAGCGTTCCTGAGTATGAGAGAATAAAAACTGAGCTCCATACTCAGCAGCCAGCAGTCTGTTCTACGTGCCACTAAATGCATCACCAGGAAACGTGCCACTCGGTATTACAGCACAGGTTTGTTAAATGGCTAAATTAGGGGTTGAGAGGTTGCTTTCTGGCTTCCTCACCCAGGGAATCTCTATGACTGCTGGGTTCACAACTAAACATGGAGTCTTTTCATTAAAAAAAATGGATTAAAAGCTTTATAGAAAACCTTTTCAGGTGTGAAAACTCCGTTTCAATAACGGTTGGGATAGTGTTTTCAATAAAAACTGTGACAAACGTAGATTTAAAAGGCCAGAAGGGACCATTACAATCAGCTAATCTGACCCCTGTATAGCACTGGCCTAAGTTCCCTCTAAGCTGCGTGGCCACGCAGCGGGCTATCAAGGGCCGCGCAGGTGGGGAGAGGTAATAAGAACATAAGAACGGCCGTACTGGGTCAGACCAAAGGTCCATCTAGCCCAGTATTCTGTCTACCGACAGTGGCCAATGCCAGGTGCCCCAGAGGGAGTGAACCTAACAGGTAATGATCAAGTGATCTCTCTCCTGCCATCCATCTCCACCCTCTGACAATCAGAGGCTAGGGACACCATTCCTTACCCATCGTGGCTAATAGCCGTTAATGGACTTAACCTCAATGAATTTATCCATTCTCTTTTAAACGCTGTTATAATCCTAGCCTTCACAACCACCTCAGGCAAGGAGTTCCACAAGTTGACTGTGCGCTGTGTGAAGAAGAACTTCCTAAGTTGACTGTACGCTGTGTGAAGAAATACAAATAAAAAGAAGTTCTTCTTCACACAGCGCACAGTCAACTTGTGGAACTCTCCCCTGGTCCTGGGCTGCTGTGACGAGAGGGGGCTTGGGGACTCCTCTATCCCCACCGCAGCCCCGGAGCAGCCTGCACCCCAAACCCCCCATCCCCAGCCCTACCCCAGAGCCTGCACCCCGAGCCAGAGCCCTCTCCCGCCCACACACCAACCCTCTGTCCCAGCCCTGAGCCCCCTCCCACACGCCAAACCCCTCGGCCCCACCCCTGCCACACATCACCTCCATATTGGTGCACATAACAAAATTCATTCATTCCACACATGGACATAAAAGATTAGAAGGAACATAGGCACTGGCCACAAATTTCCTCCAGTTACCCCTGTATTGAGCACATTATGCTGTAGTCAAGTACAAGTTAACTCCCAGACAGGCATCCAGTCTCCATGGAAAAGACTTTCATCTGTGTTCTCTTCATTCAAACTTGTAAATAAGAGCTGGTCAGAAAATGAAAAATTAGTTTAATGAAAAACATCTCAGCCATTCTGATTGAGAGACATTTTAAATGGAACCTTTTTTTAATTTTTGAAATTTGTATTTGAAAACGTTATCCAAAATGTTATTGACACTGGGTTTTTGCAACCAAACAGTTTGGGTAACCATTTTAGTAGCGCTTTTTTTTTTAAAATTACTTTTTTTTGTGAAACATCATAAAAATGTTTTGTTTTTCCATGAAAAATTTAGATTAAAAAAATGGATCAAGAGGCCACTTTTTGATGGAAATTTTTTTATTCCAAACATTTTGACCAGATCTACCCCTAAGGAACAAACCAACTCATGTAGCATGTACCACATCACTCTGTTCCCAACATGACAGAAAGGTCCACACAACTAACTACAGGGATGGAGCTTGGGGAAGGAGGAAGAAGGGGATGGTTGGTCAGGAACAAAGCAAAAGCATTTCAGGCGAGTGTCTCAGCACACCGCTTTCCCCCAGTGTGAAGATGGTTTCATCCCCCAACCCCCAATGCGCCACTCACCCTGTTGATGGCCACTCTGGCCCTGTAGAAAGTGGTGGACCCCTCGTTGTCGGGGATGGCTCAATTCCCCCTGAGAAAGAACACAGAGAAGGAGTGAGAGAAGACAATGAAGTCTGGTTTTGTGGAGAGGGTACCACTAAGAACATAAGAGCAGCCATACTGGGTCAGACCAAAGGCCCATCTAGCCCAGTATCTTGTCTTCCGACAGTGGCCAATGCCAGGTGCCTCAGAGGGAATGAACAGAACAGCTAATCATCAAGTGATCCATTCCTTGTCGCTCATTCCCAGCTTCTGGCAAACATTCTCTTAACACAATTTATAATCAGGCTTGGCAGCATTCAATTTTTACTTTTTTAAATAATTTTAATGGATAATTTCAATGTTTATTTTTAAGATTTTATATTTTTATCGATTTTAAATTTTCAGAGTTATGGGAAATATGGGGGCGGGGGTCAATTATTTAGTGATCAACGCTGAGATTCAAAAAGTTAAAACATTATAAATCGTTACAACACAAATTGTCAACATCATGTGTCAAAATATACAAAATAAATACCCTTAAAGCAACAAATAATACCTGTTTTTACTATCCATTCGCTAGTCCGTTTGTAATCAGCCTAATTCAAAAGTCTAAATCACTGGATTTTGACTAATAAGTTCTCCAGCAGCATTTTCCTTATTTTGCTTATCGGTGGAAATATTTGTTGATTTGGTTTGGTTGGATATCGACGTTTACCGACATATACCAATAAAAAAAACTAATCCTTCCAAGCCTACTTATCATTATTAATTATTTGTATTATAGCTGCTTCTAGAAGCCCCAACTGAGAAGGCGGCCCAACTGTGCAAGGCACCACACGCAGTCCATACTTTGAAGAGCTTACAGGCTAAACAGACTAGACAAAGGATGGGAAGGGAAAGAGATAAGGAGATGAAGTGACTTGCCAATCAAGGTCATACAGCAGGTCAGGTGCCAGAGCTGGAACTAGTGTTTTAAGTCCCATATCCAGAGGGCCACACTGCCTCTCAAAATTGGGTAACACTGTTTGTGCCCACATCTGGTTACTTGCAACCCCTGCCTATAAGGGTGTTATAGAAGCTCAGATACTACAGTGATGAGGGCCATACAAATCCCTAGAGATAGTAGAGTACCATTGGCGTAAAGTGGAAGAAGTGCAATTGGGATTGCTGGCTGTGGCAGTCTGTGGGAGGAGTTACTGGGAAGTAAATTGTGTCTCTCTCAACAATACTGGGTCTTGCACATTCTTTTACACCAGAGTGGCCTAGTGGATAGGGCACTGGAGTAGGATTCGTGAGACCTGGAAATACCCTTAGGTACACTAGGCTTCTCTCTCTGGAGACCACAGTTCCAGTTCTGGGTTTGGCCACAAGAGGAAATGAGTCGGGACCAGAGGGGTCTCATCTCAATCTCTAATGGGTCATCTAGGAAAAAAACAGCACCACAGCAGCCTCTCCAGTCAAGAGAGGCCCTGGACTGAGACAACCGCGGTTGGAGATGCGCTGTCAGAGCTGATGGTGGGAGAGGCAGGGGATATGAGGGAGCGCCACAGGTCAGGATTACGATGCAGATTTATGCGTTGGCAGCAGGGCAATAGGGGAAACCAGGAACGAGTGCACTGGCAGAGATGCGAGGGGGCAGCTCTCATATTGTGTGTCAAATTCTAGGCGCTTTCATAGACTTTTTTTTTTAAATAAGTCGTCTAACTGACACGATCAAATCCCTTTCACACTATCACCATGCTCACTTAGCAACTCGAAGCCAAGTAGGTGGATCTGTCTGTTTTTATTTAGTCGCTGGTGTACATCCTTGGTTATGGGCTCAACAGGGATGCGAGGGAGGATGGAAGTATTGCAGGAGTGATTTAGAGCAGCAAACAACAAAATCTCCCTTGCAGCCCCAGTGTGCTCAAAGGCTTGGGAAAATGCAAATGAAAAGCAAGCGAACCATGGTGCCCCATCTCAGGACACTGAGGAAGGATGGGCAGCTGGGAGAGGAGATAAAGACAAGCAGTCAGGCACCTGCCGCTGGGATCCCCCCTTTCCCTCCCTCCTTCCCATTGGGGTACGTTATTAACACAGGGACACAAGGATCCCCCAGCTGAATGATTCTGCTGCAGCTAGCAAGCATGAATATGCATCAGTTACTATGTAGCGGCTGATCCCATGCCCACTGCTGATTTACAGGCCAAGTGGGATTGCTAAACAAATCCCTTTTTCACCCCCCACATGCTCATGCTGGCCTCTTTGCCCTGCACTGACAGGTGCTGTGAATTAACGCGGAACGCCGGGATTGGGATGGGAAGAGAAGACAGCTACTCCATCACTAAGTGCAAAGCAGGGAAAGAGATGGGCGAGGAGCTGTCTGGAACAGCCCAGGGATGCACTGAAGGGTCTCCTTCCTGTGTAATGCTGCACAGAGTAGGAGAGACGGGGCAGAGTGCCTGGAAGGGACATCAGAGTCCACAGGCTCCAGGGCTCCCAGTCACCTCTACAGTGTTAGTGTTGGTGAAAGGTGCCAGACTGACATCCCTGAGTCTTCTGTCTGGCTATGTCAAAACAGGCACAGCAGCAGCATAAGCTCCTCCCCACGGCCACGCCTGCCAGCAGCAACACCGGGCTGGGGGGACCACTACTAGAGGTCAGGAGGCAATTAAATCTCCATGCTCATGCAGCTCAAAGCACTGCCCAGGGAGCCAATTAATGCTAATTCGTCCTGGACGGATACCACTGACTCAGTGTGTGTGCACTGCTGAGAGGCCACCCCCAGCAAGCGATTGATCGAAAGGGGAAGGAAGGGTGGGTTTAAGGTTAAGGCACAAGACTGGAAGTCAGGAGACTCCCAAGTGCTGTTCCCAGATATACCGCAGCCTCACTTTGTAGTCCTGGGTAAATCAAACAACTGGATTTTTGGAGGCCCTCAGTGTTGGTCTAAGTACATGCTCACGGAAGCAGGGTGGATAAAAATCAATTAATAAATAAAAAAAATCTGTTTTCATTTAAATCAGTCTTTTTATAAATTAATCTATTTAATTTATTATTTAAATTTGAAATTGTGGCAACCTATGTTAAGGCCTAAACTTACTATCATCCATTCAAATCATTTCAATTAAATTAAGACAAATATTCAAGCAGTACATGTTTGCTACCAAAGTTTTAAAGAAATTCAAAATAGCAAACTGGTGGAAGTCACTGGCTAAGCACCTGAAACCTGAGATTGCAGAAGTGCTAAACCAGCTTTTGACAGAGGTAGCCTCTTCCGCAGGTACAGAGAGAATATTTTCTTCATTTCAGTTGATGAAACTAGTGCAGTTCAATGACTAGTTCATAGGACAGACTGATTTAAATCATAATTTAAACCAAACGGAAAGCCTCAATTTAAATCACTGATTTTAAATCAATTTTTCCATTTGTACTTCAGTTATTGTCTTTAAAAAAGGTGTACTCTCAATAGCAGATATAACCATTGAATCATGTTGATTTACAACTCAATAGAACCTTTATACTAAATTTGGTACATCTTTTTGCCACCTCGGAGGGGACACTATAACTATACACATTTATTGACGCAATTATATAGCTTAAAGTTTTGATTCTTATTAACTGTACATTTTTAGTAAGTCAGAAAATGGTGAGTGATATATTGCTTATTGACTAGATAATTAACTTAATAGGGTCTTTTTTATGACTTGCAGTCATAGCAGGTTTTTTCCCCCTCCAGTTCCCAGGTGTTGAAATCAACACTAGAGGCTGCCCGCTGATGAACGTTGTCCCTTTTTCCTCACTTTGATACCAGCATTGCTCCTTTCTGGTTGCACACAGTTCACTAAATACAGAGAATATTTTTGTTTAATAGGTCAGTTTTAAATACAAAACATGGTTGGATAATTTTTTCCTTTATAGATCCAGCACATTTAAGGTAGATTTATTTAACTAATAAAAAACAATTTTAAAATGCTGATTTTTGAAGTTTAAAACTGAATTCCAATATCCATCAAAATATGATGTAATAATGGCACCTTGCTCTTAGAGTGCACTTTTCAGCCATAGATCTCAAAGCACTTTACAAAGGAAATCAGTATAATTATCTCCAAATGCAGCTTGGACACAAATCACAAATAAAAAGATAACTTATTAAATACGAAATGCATCATTCACCATTATCTAACATAATAAAAATTAAAAAGAATCTGAATAAAATTATCTTAAACTAGATAATTGCTTAAATAAATGTGTATAGATATAGTACAGAGGTTCTCAAACTGTGGTCCATAGACCACCAGTGGTCCGCAAACTCCATTCAGGTGGTCTGCAGACAGCTCCCTCTAAGGTGCACACCTGGGCGGCTGCACACAAGAGAATGAAGGGCCACCCACCTAATTAGTGGAGCCGTACAGGCGTGGCTCCACTAATTAGGTGCCAGGCCCTTGAGAAGACGCACATGTAAGGTGAGGTGGTGGCCTTGGGGGAAATAAAGGGTAGGTGGGAGGGAGCAGTGGGGTGAGAAGAGGGGGTGAGTGGAATTTGGGACATGCAGGGCTGCGGCGGCCAGAGAAAGAGGTGACTTTCCCCAGCTCCAGGGCTGCGGCTGCCGGAGAGAGACAGCCCTCCTTCCCAGCCTCAGCTCTGTGGGTGCTGTGGCGAGGGAGAGACCCCCCCCCTTTCTCAGCCCCAGCTCGGGGGCTGCTGTGGCAGGGGAGAGAGGGCACATCCATCACATTAGAAAGGTAAGACTACTGATATTAAAATATGAGTTGCGTGCTTTTATTTGTAGAACAAAAAAACCATTAATTATTATTAAGTTTGTTTTTTATATAGTGCTTTTATCCAAAGCACTTTACAATAGTTAGCTAATGGCACAAACAACATTTGGAAAGAGCATTAAGCGGTCCACCGAGACTCAGCAATTTTCAAGTGGTTCGTGAAAAAAAAAGTTTGAGAACCATTGATATAGTGTATTCCCTCCAGCTTAGCAAAAAGTATCACCAAATTACACCTACCATTGAGAATCAACCTCTCTTAATAAAATAACTAAAAAGTAAAAAAAAGTAC